AAAAAAAAAAAAAAGAATGCAGTAAGTTATGATGACACCACTGCATTCTAATCCTAGCCTGGGCAATAGAGCAAGACTGTCTCAAAAAGAAAAAAAAAAGGCCCAGTTTTTAACTTAATGTAAGCGGCAATTTCATCATGTATATCAATGGTTTTCTAACTCTAGAGCAGGCATCCTAAAACTATGGCCTGCGGGCCACATGTAGCCCACCTAGGACATTTATCCAGCCTGCCGGGTGTTTTTACGCTGCTACCTGTCCTGCTTAGCAGCCTACTCATCCCAAGGCCCGTAGTCTGGCCCTCCAATGGTCTCAGGGACAGTGAACTGGCCCCGTTTAAAGAGTTTGAGGATCTGGGTGGCGCCTGTGGCTCAAAAGGGTAGTGCGCAAGCGCCACATGCCGGGAGGTGGTGGGTTCAAGTCCAGGCAGGGCCAAAAAAAAAAAAAAAAGTTTGAGGACTACTGCTCTAGAGCATAAAAGAGGTATTTATTAACAATAAATTGACTCTCTCATCGCATCTAATCCCCTTATCTCTTGCCATGCTTGCAATGCCCACCTTTATGTAAATGACTCACAAATCTCCATCATTACCTGTTAACTGTCTGAATGTATGTGTTCTCCAGAATTCTAATGTTGAAACCTAACCCTAAGGTGATGGTAGTAAGAGGCGAGGCCTAACCTGGGCATGGTGGCTCATGCCTATAGTCTCAACTACTCGGGAGGCTGTGATGGGAGGATCAGGGCCAGGAGTTCATGTCTGCAGTGCAGCATGAATATACCTGTAAATAGCCACTGTACTCAGGCCTGAGCAAAACAGAGAGATCCTGTCTCTCAAAAAAGAAAAGGGTGGGCTTGGTATGGTGGCTCACATCTGTAATCCCAGCACTCTAGGAAGCCGAGGTGGGTGGATTGCTTCAGCTCACGAGTTCGAGACCAGCCTGAGCAAAAAGCGAGACCTTGCCTTTACTAAAAATATTAAAACTGAGGCAAGAAGATTGCTTGAACTCAGGAGTTGGAGGTTGCTGTGAGGTATGACACCACAGCACTCAACCCAGGGCAACAGCTTGAGACTCTGTCTTAAAAATAAAAAATAAAAAAGAGGCTCAGCACCTGTAGCTCAAGCAGTTAAGGCACTAGCCACATACTGGAGCTGGCAGGTTTGAATCCAGCCTGGGCCCGCCAAAACAACAATGACAACTACAATAAAAAACTAGCTGGGCGTTGTGGTAGGCACTTGTAATGTCAGCTACTAGGGAGGCTGAGTCAGGAGAATTGCTTAAGTCCAAGAGTTGGAGGTTGCTGTGAGCTGTGACGCCATGGTACTCTACCCAGGGCAACAGCTTGAGACTCCGTCTCAAAAAAAAAAAAAAAAAAAAAGGGAAAAAAAAAGAGTAGGGCCTTTGGGAAGGTCATTAGATTATACAGTGGACATTTCATAAATGTGATTAGTAGCCTAGAGTGGTAGTTCACTTGAGGAGGATCACTTGAGGCCAAGAGTTTGAGACCAGCCTGAGCAACAAAGCAAGACCTTAGTTTCTAAAAAAGTTAAAATAAAAAAAAAAATTAGCTCAGGGTACTGCTATGCACATGTAGTCCTAGCTGTTCAGAAAGACAAGGGCAGGAGGATCACTTGAGGCCAGGAATTTGAGGTGACAGTGAGCTACGATCATGCCACTGTACTCCAGCCTGGGCGATAGAGTAAGACCCAGTCAAAAAAATTATTTTTAAATTTAAAAAAGGCCAGGCATGGTGGCTCATGCCTGGAGCTTGAAACCAGCGTAAACAATATAGCAAGACCCCCTACTTCTACAAAAAACTAGACAGGTCAGCCAGTAATGGTAGTGTACTCCTATATTCCCAGCTACTTGGGAGGCTGAGTTGGGAGGATGGCTTAAGCCCAGGAATTTGCAGTTGCAGTGAGCTATGATAACACCACTGCACTCTAGGCCAGGTGGCAGAGCAATACCCTGTCTCCCAGAAAAAAAGGTGGAGGTATGGATTAGTCCCCTTATGAAAGAGGTCCAAAGGAGCCTGCTACCATGTTTACCTGGAAATAAGACCTACCCAAAAAATAAGCCCTAGCAGGATTTCTATGCATTTGTTAAATATAAAGCCCTACCCTCATAATAAGACCTTGTGATGGGTGTGGCTATGCAGATACCACGCCATGCATTTCAGCACAGTGCAGTAAGGAAGACTGGAATACCTTTAATCTGCCACAGCTCCTTTCTCCGAGCTGCTGGCACTTGTGCAGGTGCCCGGGTGGTAACCATAGTTGCAGGCAATCCTATTGTGCATGTGCAAACAACTAGGGGAAGGGAGTTCCCGCATCACTAGCCCCGGCCCCACGAACAAGGTTGGCTCCCCCTGTCAGGTTCCAGAAGAAGATGACTTAACTGTATTTGAATAAATATAGATTGCTGTATTATACTTAATAAGACATCCCCTGAAAATAAGCCCTAGTGTGTCTTCTTGAGAAAAAATAAATATAAGACTGTCTTATTTTCGGGAGAACACGGTATCTCCTATTTTCCTCCTCTGCCAAATGAGGAAGGGATAAAAAGATACCACTTATGAAGCAGAGGTGGGCCCTCATCAGACACCCAAACTTTCACACCATCTTTTGAGGCTTTTTCCAAAACACCATTTGCTGATACTAAAAGGCCTATTATAACGCATCATCATCTTATCTCTATTAAGCATATGTTAGTTTGTTAGGAAGAACACAAAATAGATCTACTTTGTGGAGAAAATTTAAGAAATCCTAAGATATCTGAAAACTATTTATAAAGCTGATTTAAACATTTAATAACCTTTTACTTATTAAAATAAACAAATATTTACTTTATATCCAATTGCTAAGCATTGCTCTAAAATAGTGAAAATAGGCTCGGCGCCTGTGGCTCAAGTGGCTAAGGCGCCAGCCACATACACCTAAAGTGGCGGGTTCGAATCCCCAGCCCGGGCCCGCCAAACAATGATGGCTGCAACCAAAAAATGGCCAGGCGTTGTGGCGGGTGCCTGTAGTCCCAGCTACTTGGGAGGCTGAGGCAGGAGACTCGCTTGAGCCTAGGAGTTGGAGGTTGCTGTGAGTGTGATGCCATGGCACTCTACCCAGGGGGATAGCTTGAGGCTCCGTCTCCAAAAAAAAAAAAAATAGTGAAAATAACCATGGTAAAAAGTTGAAGTATTACTCTCACAGACCTTACATTTTAGTGGAGGGAGATAAATAAGAAATATGTAAACTAATTTTTTAAATATAGATATTTAACTTCAGGTTGTACTAAGGGCTATGATAGTGGGCTGGAATACTTGGAGTGAGGCTACTCTAGCTCTGGTGACCCAGCTTGAGGGGTTTTACCACACCTCCCTCCTTATCTATGCTGTTCTACCAACCTACTACTAAGGATCTAACTCAGGTCATAAATAAGGGCGAGCAAAAAACATGTAAAAAGTAATGGAAGCACTCTATCATAAGTCCTTTCTATGTGTTCTTTAGCTTTTTAATTAATTCAGGATACAGTCAGTGTTCTTCATAGTTCCTGGTTATAAACGTCAACATGCCAGTACCACGTATCACATGTATACTGTGAAAGTACCTGTGATTTGGGCGACACCTATAGCTCAGTGGGTAGGGCGCTGGCCACATACACTGAGGCTGGTACTGAGGTGCCTGGTTCGAACCACCAGCTTCAGTTTTAGCTAGTGGCTACCTAAAACAACAATGACAACTGCCAAAAAAAAATTAACCAAGCATTGTGGTGGGCGCCTGTAGTCTCAACTACTTGGGAGGCTGAGGCAAGAGAATCGCCTAAGCCCACGAAGTGGAGGTTGCTGTGAGCTGTGTGATGCCACAGCCCTCTACCATGGGTGATAAAGTGAAACTCTGTCTACACACACACAAAAAGGGCAGAGCCTATGGCTCAAAGGAGTGGGGCACCAGAGGTAGCGGGTTTAAACCCAGCCCCAGCCAAAAACTGCAAACAAAAAGCAAAAAAGAAAGTACCTGTGATTAAAAAGGGCTATATTTCTATGACCTTGAGTTACTTTATATCCCTTTATATTAAAAAAATTGTGTCTATGCTCTATTGTCAGAGGAAGAAGAAAAAATTGTGTCCTCTACTATTAAGACTGAGGGATTATTAATCAGCGTATCTACTAAAACTAAACCAGAAAAGTAAATTTATAAACTTATATGCATCGAATTCTTTTTTTTTTTTTAGACAGAGTCTCACTTTGTTGCCCCCAGTAGAGTGCCCTGGTATCATAGCTCACAGCAACCTCTAACTCTTGGGTTCAAGCAATTCTCTTGCCTCAGCCTACCAAGTAGCTGGGACTATAGGTGCCCACCATAATGTCCAGCTATTTAGAGATGGGGTCTCACTCTAGCTCTGGCTGATCTTAAACTCGCGAATATGGGCAATCTGCCCACCTCAGCCTCCCAAAGTGCCGGGATTACAGGTGTGAGCCACCATGCCTGGCCTGCACCAAATTCTTGCTCCTGATGTTAACTTGTTAGTAGGGATTATGCTATAACTGTTTTTTGCTAACATAGTTTGGCATCCAAATACAGGTCCCAAGAACTATTATCGGCTATCCATTAAAAAAATCTTTGCTGGCTCGGTGCCCATAGCACAGTGGTTACGGGGCTGGCCGTGTACACCCAGAGTGGAGGGTTCGAACCCGTTGAGGGCCACCTAAACAATGACAACTGCAACAAAAAAATAGCCAGGGTTGTGCGTTGTGGCAGTCGCCTATAGTCCCAGCTACTTGGGAGGCTGAGGCAAAAGAATCGCTTAAGCCCTAGAGTTTAAGGTTGCTGTGAGCTGTTATGCCATGACACTCTACCAAGGGCGACGTAGTGAGACTGTTTCAAAAAAAAAATCTTTGCCAGCACTACAAATAAAGAAATTTTAAACCTCAACCTCTATGTGACTATAAATAAGTTTATGGGAAGGAAAGGAGGAAAATTAGGAGCAATCAGTACTAAAGGTCAGTTAAATAGATATAAAGTGAATGATTTGCCCAATGTAATCAGGAATTTTTTTTAGGTTAAGCACCTCCCTAGGATTCTCCCATAAGGCTTCAGAAGACTCCAAACTCAAACCTAAGAAACCTTAATCAATTTGATAAACCCTATTTCTTGAGAAGGTCTTAATTAAGGATGAAAAAAATCAATTATCCCAAGAAGTAACATGATTTACCATTATTCCAATAATTAATCTACTCAAGTTTAACTGAAATAATGCATTACTACCGAAAAAGTGTCACTTTAAACTGCCTTGAAAAACAAGAACATTCTAAAAGAAGCCTTAAGCCTTTTTTTTTTTTTTTGAGACAGAGCCTCAAGCTGTCCCCCTGGGTAGAGTGCCATGGCATTACAGCTCACAGTAACCTCCAACTCCTGAGCTCAAGCGAGTCTCCTGCCTCTGCCTCCCAAGTAGCTGGGACCACAGGCGCCCGCCACAACGCCCGGCTATTTTTTGGTTGCAGCCGTCATTGTTGTTTTTGGCGGGTCCGGGCTGGGGATTCGAACCCGCCACCTTAGGTGTATGTGGCTGGCGCCTTAGCCGGTTGAGCTATAGGCGCCGAGCCGAAGCCTTAAGCCTTTTCTAACTACTCCCTACCTTTACAATATCTGTAAAATGAAACACCGATCACCTCTTTAATCAATTCAATACTCACATCTTGATTATATTCCAAGAAGACATGGAAATTTAAATCTTTTCTCAAAATAGGATGTGCTGCCACTCGACATAGGAACACTTCATGCATTGCAACTGTCTTCTTGAATATTGCCAAATATTCACTAGAAGCAATACACAAAATTAAAGGTAAAAAATTCCATCAAATATAAAGTCATCTGCAACAAATTTTTTTTTAGCAAATACACTTTGGATTATTCCAAATGCAAAATTAGAGATAAAAAGATATAATTCATGTAAATAAAGGTTTTAGTTGAACTGTTAATGAAATATATAAAACCCAGCTCTGAAAAAAGACCTCATGCCAGTTAATAAGATTTACTGTATTTAAATGTTAATAATTTTAAGTTTTGTAAACTTTTCTTATTATGCCAGTTGATGTTAAAGGTTACTAAAGGGGTGTTTGCTTTCAGCTCCACAGTAAGTACACTACAAATTATTTGATACAACCTTAATATTCAATTTCTACATAATTACTGCTTTTAAACACCTTACTACAAAAAGAATTTAAACGCATAACTCAGTAAAAATATTTTCAGTGTTAATAATTGCTTTCATCTAATTGCCCCCAAAACACAAGAAACCCACTCTGAAGAGACTGATTTTTGCCACTGACCTGAAGAAATGTGTTTAAGATCTTTTACTACAATCTTTAAACCATAGTGACCATATAGTAGTACATGTACATGTCAGTTTAAAAAAAAAACACTCAAGGAAAAGACTTGATATTCTTGCTTCAACTACGTGCAAGAAGGATTAAGTTTTACATACCAGCAAACCAGCAGGACCAATGTTGGGAGAAGTTTGATCTCTGTGAGGGTAGTCATTCAGTGAAGACAAAAAAGAAGGATGCAGAGGATGGAGGTAGCAGTAGAATAAACCCAAGGTTCTCTGTTATCCAACCCCTAACCAGACCACAAGAGAATCATGATCAGGGCCACTGGAAAATCATAGATTCTTCAATATTAATGTGTTCTGCTAATTTCCAGTTTTCAGTCTTAAAAACTTTTGAATATGTATGTTTGCTATTAGTCTACTGCTTGTACTCAGAACTGACAAAATTCTTAAAATAACTGTCACCATATACTTTGACAAAGGAGACCTGCTTGTCTAATTTATCTGTTCAAGAGTTTAGTATTCTGAAGAGGAGTCTATAGCAGTGTGAATATACGCTGGAAAACGGAAACTAAGTGAAAGAAAAGGAAATGCATGAAGGGAAGAAATGACCAGAAAAAGAGCAATGGAGGTGATGATAATGCAAGGAAAATTATTTCCTTGTCCAAGTTTCAAAATACACAGAAACAACATATAGCAAATCCAAATTTACTTCATTATTTAGTAAAAGGGTAAAGATTTTATATTTTCAGCAAATATGCTAAAAAGAAATACAAGTCGAGTATCCCTAATCTGAAAATCCAAAATCCAAAATGTTCCAAAATCTGAAATTTTTTGAGTACCAACATGACACTCAAGACCATTAGATCATTCTGGATTTCAAATTTTGGGATTAGGGATATTCAATTGGTAAGTACAATGCAAATATTCTGACTACCCCCAAAAAGCTGACATCTGAAACACATATTCCCAAGCATTTTGAATTAGAGATCTCAAACTGTGTATAATTTCCTTTTTTTCTTTTTTCTGCCTATGGTTTCTGGCCAAAAGGAAAAGAATATGGGAGCAAAGTAACTACAGAATAGTTACAAGCCATTTTTCGTTAAAACTATTACTTTCACATATACTTATAAGAAATGTATTAAACCCATGGAAAAATTGTTATAATTTATACCAGGTATCCTCAAACTAAGGCCCATGAGCCACATAAAGCCTGCCTAGGACATTTATCCGGCCTGCCAGGTGTTTTTGCTGCGCTTTGTCCTGGGGCCCACAGTCTGGCCCTCCAATGGTCTGAGGGACAGTGAACTGGCCCCTACTTAAAAAGTTTGAGGACCCCTGATTTATACTGCATACACACACTTTTTAAATTTATTTATTTATTTTTTTTTTAGAGACAATCTCACTTTGTCACCCTCAGTAGAGTGCCATGGCTTCACAGCTCATAGCAACCTCCAGCTCCTGGGCTTAGGCATTTCTCCTGCCTCAGCCTCCTGAGCAGCTGGGACTACAGGCATCCGCCACAATGCCTGGCTATTTTTTGCTGCAGGTTGGCTGGGGCTGGGTTCGAACCCACCACCCTTGGTAAATGGGGCTGGTGCCCTACTCACTGAGCCACAGGTGCTGCCTCTACACACACTTTATAATTTTTTTAATTTTTTTTTTTTTTTAGAGACAAGAGTCTTACTTTGTCACCCTCGGTAGAGTGCTGGGGCCTCCCAGCTGACAGCAACCTCCAGCTCTTGGGCTTAGGTGATTCTCCTGCTTCAGCCTCCAGAGTAGCTGGGAGTACAGGAACCCCCCTCCCACCAATGCCCAGCTATTTTTTTTGTTGTTGCAGTTTGGCCAGGACTGGGTTCAAACCTGCCACCCTTGGTATATGGGGCCAGCACCCTACTTACTGAGTCATAGGCGCTGCCCCCTACACACACTTTTAAAGGTAACAATGTGTGCAAAGGGTTACTCAGCAAATTCTCCTATAAGAAATAAATGTTTTAGTAGTATGTACATGTTGAAAACAGTGAACTAGGTTGCTTGTAAATTAAAAAAATATTTAATTCTACTTTAAAAAATCATGTTCCATTTCTATTTTTTTATAAGCTTTTTAAAAATAAGCTTTTAATCCTCTGTTTTACAAGGGAGATAGTCTATAATTTTCCTGTAGGCTCTGATCATGATCATTAACACTGGTTGTGTGACTTAAACCTGTATCTTCCAGAAAGGGTCCCTATGGTAAAATGATTAAAATGATGGGATATCAGAGAGCACAAAAAAAAAAAAAAAAATAGTAATAAATAAATAAAAATAAAAAAGCATTAAAATAAGTATAATTAACAAAAGTAACAACAACAAAAAAATCACATACGCTTCCAGTTCCTGCTTCATCTTTGTGAATTCTTCTTTTGTCATCGATCCTTCTCCTTCTCCAAGCTTCTGTAGTTTTTCCCTTGAAGCATCAAAATCAGGTCTTGGTGGTGCTGGTGGGATCTGTAACAGAACCAAATCATTAATTTTAAGGGACTATTTGATTTCTTGAAGCACTGTACTACTGTCACCATAAAAGACTGTGTCTGGGAAAGCTAAAAGTATCCTGAATGAGCTGAGCACCAGGAACACCCAAATTCTGAGTAGAGAACTTGACAAGTTCTAGAAATTAAGGTCCTTTACACCAAAAAAGAAATATAGCATAGCACTCATTTCGGGTATTAGAACAGTAGTTCTCAAACTTCAATCTGAAGACTCCCCTGTGGCAACCTCGAGTCCTCAAATTCATATGTACACTAAGCTCTGACTACAGACTGAACATGTATAGCAAACACACACATCATCTCTCAGAAGTTTTATATGCAGGCTCGGCGCCTGTGGCTCAAATAGCTAAGGGGCCAGCCACATACACCTGAGCTGGCGGGTTCGAATCCAGCCTGGGCTTGCCAAACAACAATGACAGCTGTAACCAAAAAACAGCCAAGCGTTGTGGCGGGCGCCTGTAATCCCAATTATTTGGGAGGTGGAGGCAGGAAACTCGCTTGAGCCCAAGAGTTGGAGGTTGCTGTGAGCTGTGATGCCACAGCACTCTACCCAGGGCAACAGCTTGAGGCTCTGTCTCAAAAAAAAAAAAGAAGTTTTATATGCAAATAATATGATTAAAGACAATTTTTTTTCTTGTAGTTTTTGGCCAGGGCTGGGTTTGAACCCACCACCTCTGGCATATGGGGTCGGCACTCTACTCCTTTGAGCCACAGTGCCGCCTGACAAATTTTTTTTAATGAACTCAGGGCCAGACATGGGTGTTCACACTTGTAATCACTATAATTTAAGAGTCAGAGATGGGAACACTGCTTGAGGCCAGGAGTTCAAGAGTGGGCTGGGCATAACAAGACCTAGTTTCTACAGAAAAATTAAAAAAAAAAAATCAGCCAGGTGTGATGGCACATGCCTATAATCCCATCTACTCAGTGAGGCTTAGGCAGGAAGATCTCTTGAGCCCAGGAGTTTGAGGCTGCAGTGGTCTATGATTGTACCACTGTACTCCAGCCTCGGTGACAGAGTGAAACACTATCTTGAAAAAAGAAAAAGAGAAATTAATGAATTCACAGTAGCTTTATGCTACTGTATTTTTTTTTTCATTAATAAATACTAGCAATATGATCCAGCAAAGGATGTTAAGAGGGTCCTAGATTGGAGGAGTGTACCCGAAACAGAAAGAATTATTTTGGGAACAAGAGAACAAGACATGAATTAATGACTAACTTCATTTTACTCATCCAGTCAGGGAATAAGTAAGCAAACACCTACCTTAAATAAGAACGTAAGATCTAGAAGAGATACAGAATTCAAGAAATAAATATAAGAGAAAATAATCCTGGCTAGGCACAGTGGCTCATGCCTATAATCTTAGCACTCTGGGAGGTCGAGACAGATGGGACTGCCTGAGTTCACAAGTTCCAGATCAGCCTGAGCAAGTATAAGACGTTGTCTCTAAAAAACAGCAGATGTTGTGGCAGGCGCCTGCAGTCTCAGCTACTTGGGAGGCTGAGACAAGAGAATCACTTGAGCCCAAGAGTTTGAGGTTGCTGTGAGCTATGACACCATGGCACTCTACCCAAGGAAGCAAAGTGAGACTCTGTCTCAAAAACAAAAAAAAAAAAAAAATAGTAATAAATAAATAAAAATAAAAAAGCATTAAAATAAGTATAATTAACAAAAGTAACAACAACAAAAAAATCACATACGCTTCCAGTTCCTGCTTCATCTTTGTGAATTCTTCTTTTGTCATCGATCCTTCTCCTTCTCCAAGCTTCTGTAGTTTTTCCCTTGAAGCATCAAAATCAGGTCTTGGTGGTGCTGGTGGGATCTGTAACAGAACCAAATCATTAATTTTAAGGGACTATTTGATTTCTTGAAGCACTGTACTACTGTCACCATAAAAGACTGTGTCTGGGAAAGCTAAAAGTATCCTGAATGAGCTGAGCACCAGGAACACCCAAATTCTGAGTAGAGAACTTGACAAGTTCTAGAAATTAAGGTCCTTTACACCAAAAAAGAAATATAGCATAGCACTCATTTCGGGTATTAGAACAGTAGTTCTCAAACTTCAATCTGAAGACTCCCCTGTGGCAACCTCGAGTCCTCAAATTCATATGTACACTAAGCTCTGACTACAGACTGAACATGTATAGCAAACACACACATCATCTCTCAGAAGTTTTATATGCAGGCTCGGCGCCTGTGGCTCAAATAGCTAAGGGGCCAGCCACATACACCTGAGCTGGCGGGTTCGAATCCAGCCTGGGCTTGCCAAACAACAATGACAGCTG